TCGGTACCCTGTGATGTGTTTTGCTGGAAATGTTCGCGTACGGTCCGGATACGGTTCCTATTTCAACCGCGCGCGAACGCGGAGCGTCCGTAACGGGTCCGTTCGCATTTTACCTGTGCATTGTTTTCAGCTTCGAAATTTGTGGACTAACAATTTCACGCCCTAGGGATAATATTAGAAACTTGAGACACCCCCAACTCCAGAAAAACTATTAACGGTAGTCAAATACCATATTCAGAATCAAAATGGGCGCAAACTTGACGTCACCATTGCCACATCATCATCGCACACAGACGACGTCCGTGTGCAATCATCTATTTTCACCCGGAGATGGAGGACCCACTTTTGCACCACAAAGAGACTCAACTGGCTCATCAAGGAATTCATCAAATGGCAAAGAAAGCGTTTTGATGCAAGGATGGAATTGGAGTAAACGGAATATTCAACCTGTGATGAGCAGAAGATCTTTGCCGAAATCTGGGTCATCATCAGGTACTCAGTATTATGAAAAGGTTCCAGATCTGGCAGTGGATAAATTTTCAGAAGCAACTTCTTCCAAATCCAGTGACAGTTTGGTCTCGTTTACCAGGAATGTCAGCACTTCAACTACTTCCAGTCAATATGGAAAACTGTCAATATCACTGGACAGAAATCAAAATTATAAAACGTAAGTGGTTACTGTAACAAGGTTTCGTCTCATAATTAGATCAATTCGGAGGTCTTGTTGACTCTAAGAAGAAAGGAAATTGCCTGGAATTTCATCTATTCTGAAAATTTTCATTTCAGAGTGGGTTTATCGAAAAGCACTTTGAGGGAAGATTCATTTTTCTTCATATTCGAATCTTTCAGAGTTCCTCGACCAGCCGATACGACTACTATAATCCCGAACTATTACAGTCTTCGGGAAGAATTCAGAAGGGGTCTTCAAATTAACACAAGACAAGATTTGGACAACAACAATTTGACAGCTAATGAGCTCAGTGTTATTAGTTCTCCGAAACATGTTCCAAGGTAAACTTTGAAGACATACAGAGTGGCGCAATATTATCCAGACTAATTGTAAAGCATGTCCTAGCATAAAATTCGAGTAAAGAATTGTACTGGTCTAAAATTAAGAGTAGAAACACTCAAATAATTTATCAGAAAAATGGCCAATTTTCAAATTATCAATTTTGAGCTGAGTTATCGCTTTTCAAAGATGTTTCATCTCTCGAAAATCACTACGGAAACATTACGTCGTTCATCTTTGGACAACTATAACAATACCTAGACTTGAGCAATCGGTTTGAAAATTTCAGTAGCTTTGAACCACATGTAAAATTATGTTTCTACCAATTTTTGTGCTTCCAAGATACTTATTATATTTCTACAGATATAGCCCTTTTTGCCGGTCCGGGTAACTGTGCGCCACCCTGTCATGTTAAATATAATCTTCTGAAACCATTCAAACGAGCTGTCAAAAGCTTTGAGATAAAATTTATAATGTTGTTTGATATTTCTGAAAATAATTCTACATAGGTTGCGAGATAAATATTTCAATTTAAGGAAAACAATTTTGATCGAAAGTTTGGTATACAAATTTCACTCACATCAAAAATTGAAAAAATAATCTCAAGTTTGACATTTTTGAACCAAAAAAACATTTAGGGAAAAGTAATTGATGGATTCAATTGAGGCAGAGCCTACTTTCCAAAAACCTAAAAATTCTGTTTATCTTGTTTAAAATTAATGTTTAGACCTCGATCGATTCGTGATGACAATGCAAATGACGATTTATCGCCTGGAGACCAACAGGAGAATGTGATATCAGAGGTAAGTTTTCATCAATTGGTTTCTCTGGTTCTTTATAACAAGAACATTCTAGAAAAGAGGCACAAAGAAGACTATAATCCAGGCTTCAACATCGGAACTTCTTCGTGGTCTTGGTATTTTCATCTCCAAAAATTGCGATGTTTCTGACTTTGATCCCGCCCATTTGGTTACGTGGCTTCGATCAGTGGATCGATCCCTTCTTCTGCAAGGATGGCAGGATATCGCATTTATTAATCCTGCCAACCTTGTTTTCATATTTTTGCTGGTTCGTGACGTGTTACCAGGTATAGAATATATGTCATGAGCAATGCTAGAATGAAAGAATTACAGATGAACGTCATCTAATTCATTCGTTGGAAGAGCTACACGCATGGATTTTGAGCTGTTTGTATGTTTCTTACTCGTATATGGGTAACGAGATTTCTTATCCACTGAAGCCGTTTTTGATTGGAAATGTGAGTTTGAAAAGCATTAAAAATTGTTTAAGTTTGAGTTAACATCTGACTACTTCAACATCTGACTAGTTTGAGTTAACATCTGACTAATGTTAAACTATTTCCAAGACATTCAAATCGAAACATCAAATGACATTATTCTTTTACAAAGTTTGAAGATTTAGAATTTTCCATTCTGTTATTATTTTTTTTTAGAAGACGGTTTATCAAAATAAAAAAAAATCATTCTGAGACTAAAAAAATATTTAGAGATTTCTTCTAATTATTGTTCGGATCGAACGCTGAATATCACAGCTTACCGTATTTCCTCTAATAGAAGCCAATCTACACCATAGACTTGGATCTCAATTATCTCGATTGTTGTGAAAAATATCAACAAATTGCCAACTGATAAATTATGCATCATAAAATAATCAATATTTCATCAGTTGACAAATTTCTGATATTTTGTACAGGAATCGAGATAATTGAGCTGAAAGTCGACGGCTGGGGTGGGCATCTAACAGAGGAAACACGGTAACTTCATTTTATCTCAACTCGTAACTCTATCCGAATTGCTGAAATGATATATAAAGTGTATCCGAAACAAATAGAAAAAAATCATATTTCCAATTTCCAGGATCGCAATGTATTCTGGAATCGCTGTGTATCCATGGTAACCTCACACAGTCATAAAATGCTTCTTCTCAATTCTTCATCCACATTTTTCACGGAAGTATTCACTGATCTCAAACATTGTTCCAATCCATCCTGATTGATCTCTCGATCCAATAGATCCATCATCACTCTGGCTATTTCTCTGCTCCTCTTGCTTTTTCTTTTTGCTTTATGAATCTCTTACAACCAAATGTTTCTCTCCCCCGATACGTGCTCATTTTTGTTCTCATTGTTCCTTTGTCTTCTTCCCGCAGCTACTTGGTGCTATTTCGTCTCTTCTAGATTTCCCCAGTTCCATTTTTTCCCACTTTTGCCTGATATATGAACCTTGCAGCCCCGGTTTTGATAAATGCATTTTTCAATTTTCCTTTGATTTTTTTCAAAATTCATTCGAATTTACACCAGAATACCCAAAAAGCAAGACAGGAAAAAAGGGAATAAAAGAATTATGACCACATGCAATCATCAGAAAAAATATCACAAAATTTGGAAGAACGGGGGAATAAATAAATTGAAAAGTTGGACAAGAAATCAGCTAAAAAGAGTCTAAAATAAATTAGAAAACACAACACAGTAGGAAATAGCCAAACGATATGATTCAACGGGTTTTCTCATTGAAAGAAAAGAAAATTAAAGAAAATCACAATTGGGAAAATTGGAATGATATAGAAATCTGTCTGGAAATGAAATAATAGTGATGATAAGTATCTAAAAACTAGTCATGAAATCTAAAAATGAAAGCAAAATAGGATATTTTCGAATTTCAAAGTGGTGAGATTCATTCGACGGTTTGCTGCTCTTCGCCTTTATTCTTCTCGCCGTCTTTTCTTTTTCTTGGACCAGATTCATCAGGAAAACACAATCCCATCATCAAAACAAGCTGTTTTTCATCTTCTGATGACCTGAAATTTTTATTATTTTAGAACTATTTTACATGATTTTTGATAAATATTTAACTTTTGAAATTATTACTCTGATATAATTTCAATGCTCGTTGCGGCGGCTAAAAATTCGACTGTGTGAAGAGCTTAGATTCGGTACGAAAATCTCAAATGCGCATTTAAAGAAGCATGTATTTTCATAATTATCTTCTGGCCTATTATTTTGATTTTTCGATAAATTATATATATATTTTTAATTAATTTTTTTTCACAAGAATTCTAAAAATCGCGAAAAAAATAACATTCAAAAACTTAATTTTTTCGATTTTTTGATAAATTTTATCGATTTCGAAAATTCGAAAAAAAGGAAATACATGCTCCTTTGAATGAATATGCTCCGCCCACCTGACGTTATAAAAGTAAAACTCACATTGTATCAACAAAAGGCGTAAATTCAGAAGTTGGGTGATCCTTCTTAAAATGACCTGTTGCCAAATCTTGTCTACTGAAAAACTTATAGCACAATGCGCATTTCAATCTGAAAATACTCAATTTCAAAGTCCGAATTTCTTCTTTTTGAAACTAACGTTTTGAAACCCAAATGAGTAATTGCATGCCTCCTTCGATGAGTTGTAATCAATGAAACTTCTCTATTACAGACATGACAAACACCACGTTTCGTTGATGCGTAGGCGGGTTTGTATCGGATTGCCGAAACAGGAGATCCGTCCATTCGGAAGGCTTCTTGAAGATCAGAAAGTACTCCTGCTGATGATTTCCCATCTAGACTTTCGTTGTCTTCCAAAGCAGCAAATCCATTGATTCCTCCGTTTTGACTTTTGGCAAAAAGAGCTTGCATCAATTGTGTCTGAATCATTTCAGAATTCATGACGTCTTCAACCGAAGCATCTTCTTCTGGCTCTTCTTTCATCAAATGATTCGATTTTTCATTTTCATTTTTAATAAGACCTCGTAGAACTGTCGAATTCTCTAAATCCCAATTATTGTTTCCATTTCCATTGGTTTTGATTGAAATTCCTAAATCAATAGATTCAGACGGTGTTGCTGATGAGCATGGTGATACGCAATCTGTATCTCCATTCGAAATTTTTGATTTCTTGTGTGGAAGAAGGCTATCGTAATCGTCGTCTGTTTGGGTTCCCATTTCCTTCCATTTATCTGAAATATCGAACATTCGAAGGTTTTCTTTTTTTTTGTTTGGTTCCATAGGAAAGCAGGAGAATACGTCCCAAACGGAATTGATGGGTTCCAAAAAAAACATATGGGTACCTCGTTAAAAGAAAAAAATGACCCCAAAAAAAGATATATTCCGTAAAAATTAGGTTGCAACACAAAATGTGAACGGTTTGGAAAAAGTATTTTAAAGGGGGGCTCCGACATAAACGTATTATTAAAATCGAATTAAAGTTATGTATTTTTCTAATATTGCCGCGAAAAAACAATAAAAACCCCGAAATTCCTGAAAATCGTCTTCGAAAATACTAGGCAATTTTTCCGGTTTTTTTTCCGCTTTCATATTGGGGACGTAAAAACCGTAAAAACCAACAAAAAACAAAAGGCGTTTCGTCGCCCTGGCCTAGGTTTCTCATTGCGCGGGAATTCTAATCCTCGTCCGTTTTCCTAACCTTTTTTTTAGCAAAATCCTAACTTTCAACGGCTTTTTTCCGGGCTTTTTTAAATTGTTTTGCTATAATATTAGAAAAAAACATAACTTTAAAAGCATTTAGATGTAAAAAAATTTTGGTCGGACTCCCATTTAGTATCACTTGATAAAACTTTTTAGAAATTAATCTAAATTTATTCTGACTCAAAATAGAATTGAACCTACAGAAAGTTGTAAAATGTACATTCCTGATTTAAAAAAGGATTTCTCTAATCTGGAAGCCTATCTTTAATTTTTATTAAGTTGCTGACTTCTCCAGAAACCCCTGATTCTAGTCAGTCCCACATATAAATTGAATGTCCTCAAACACAGAAGGTGATGAGATTCTGTTGTGCTCTTCTCATTCGGTCACTTCTTATTTTCTTCTCATCGACAAGTCCTTATAATTATCCTTGACCCACACATAACTATTGGCACCCGCACACGCAATTACAATTGGTCCTCATTTTTCGAGAAGGATGAATATATGTAGGTTAGAACAATTCATGATGCTCTGGAACGAGAAAATAACTACTTACCAGGTCGATCGCAGAGTTTCGATAGATTATCCGTTACAGAAAAAGTGATCGTCTTCTGAGTCATAAAAGCCATCAATTCGTTTAATGTTGTACCCGGATCCGTGTTGATAACTACAAACATATTGAATCTGAAAAAAACTATTGGAGAAAAGAAGAAGAACGAATTTAAAAATTTGTAAGGAAGAGAAATGGAGAATCTTTCTCCGACAAAACAAAATTATGATGAGGCGACGATGAATGAGAATTTTAAGGATGGGAGCGAAACTGAGGGAAAAGAAATGATGATAGGGGAGGATGTGGGTAGAATAGAAACGACGACGAAGAAGAAGAAGAATTTATGAAAATGTACATTTGAAATATCTGGTCACGCCTGCCAATTCCGTCATCAAGGGCACATTCAACTAGGTCGTTTCAAAAGGATATGGAAACCTTTGGGACATACTCCGAATATGAGAAAGAAGAGAAGAAAAGAGAATTGGTTATTACCATGAAAAGGTCAAATGAGAGATGGGAGAGGACGATTTCGTTTGTGTGTGTGTGGAGAGGGTATTCAATTGGTTCTCTGTGGGGCAGCACACCGAGATAACCCAGTGAAGGTCAAACATTAGCACCAATTGATGCATATCTATAGAGATATCATTTTCCCAGAGTTTTTGTAGTGTTGAAGATATACCTAAAACTCATGCTTGCAACGTGCCGGGCCGGGCCGTAGCGACAATTTTCCCGGCCCACCCTTTTTCAGTTAAAAAAATTTCAATGTGAGAAATTGGGAACTTTTTCAATTAAAAAAGAAAAAAACTTATATAATTTTTAAAAGTTATCAAAGTAAAAAGTAGCCAAAAAATATATAGCTTTTGATCGAATTTTTGAAAATTTTTGAAAATTTTCGAAAAAAAAAATTCAAATAAAATCAGCTTCTATACATTCATCGGCTGCTCTTCTCGATTCTCGATGACCGGCCCGTGATTTCGTAAGTATGCTAAAACTTGCGCAGTGTTATAGATCAAATATTTTTTATAAATACAATATTACCTAGAATACTGTAACCAGGCATTATTTTTCAAATTAACGGTTAAGACAACAAGATTGTTGAATTTTTCTGGTAATCTTGATATATAACCAGGAGAAAATACCCAGATGACCATTGAAAGTTTATCTGTTCAGATAGTACACACAAGATCCCTAACCTTGGGTATCTCGCAGTTCGAACGCGCATACGTGGTCATCTGGGAGACCAGTACGGCGACCGTAACAAAGATTAACCATCAATATATGGACGGTCCCAAGGCAGGGTTACAATATAATCCCAAGTGCCCGTTGGGTGAAATAAGGGATTTTGGACTGTGTTAGATTTAGTTATTGCCAATAATTTCATAGACACCGTATTCCCACTGATAAGCGAGTTGCATCACTAAGTTTATTTTTAAAAAAAGTTACTATTTGCTTATTTTAATGGGCTTTTTTCTTTTTAAACTTGGTGGCTCTCAAATTGTTTTCAACAAGAATTTCTACAGAAACAAGTTACCTTCAAGTGTGAAAACTGCAAACTTTCATATTTCTAACTAAATTAGTAGAAAACGAGCGAATTGAAACTCTTGGATTCACTAAATCAAATTTTATCCGTTTCTAAGTTTCTAGCCATCAACTAAAATATGTGACGACAACATACCGTAATCACATTAATGGAACGCCACCCCTAACTTTTAACTTTGAGCCAATTTATCTCAATTCCTATTAGAGATATCGAAAAGTTGTCAACTGGCAAAACATTTTTGATATTAAGATAAACATGTTGTTAGTTTATTACTTCGTGAGAACATTTACAGGAAGTAAGATATATGGGCTCAAAGTTCGGGTGATCTTCTATTAGGGTAACCACTTTTTCCCCGTTTACACTTTTGCTAACCTTTTTATAAGCGTAGACAATGGTAAGTAATTAGTAAGGATACTGTAATTGGGGAATAATGAAAATGAATGTTATATTAGTCTGATCCAGTTCCGTGCATTGAAAAATTAAAGAAACCCAGTCGCATGCTGAACCCATTAAAACCCATTGTCTGGTATTAGTACTACAGCCTGTGTTAGAGATGTGCATGATGTAGTTGTGGTCCCAGAACAAATATGGTACGGTGTTGACAATATATCGAATCGATTCTCCTGGTGAAGTGCACTTCCAAATGAAATTTCCATGTAAGTCTGTGCAAATACTAGATGATCCTGTGATGATCTATGAAGGTATACGTATATTCTATGAAAAGGTGGTATGGTGGTAAGTGGAATGAAAAGTAGGGTTTGGTAAAAGTGGTCGAGGTCTTCTTTTCCATTCCATCTTATTCTTCGTCTTTCTTCTCATGGTCAGAATGTCGGTCGGGCCATTTCCACTCTATACAAGCGATGGGGCACTACTAGGACAGATAGGTCGGGGCTGGAATAGCATTCGGAATCAAGAGGCGCCGAGAAACCGGCTGAGATCGGAGGTACGGCCTCGGCAGTGCCTGGTAACCCGACGCGAACGCGTTTGAGGGATAGCCCACACAGCCAGTCTCTTTCTCTTCTCTCCGTTTTCTCTGATGTTCTCTTTTTCCCACTGATCCCTGTCTGTGGCCACCCCATTCCCTCTTCTCTATTCGCTTGTTTTGCAAAGAGGACGAGAAAAGAGAAGAAGTGGTGTAGTGGGGTGGGGTGGCTGTTTTGGGGGAAAAGGATGGTGGTTATTGGGCCACCGAAAGAGGAAAGAAATGATGATGAGAACATAGTCTTTTCTGTCTCGCACAGACCATGGTAACGGATAGAAAAGAAAAAGAAGGGAACGACGGGAAAGAAGAGGGAGGGATTGGAAGAGAAAGTGGTGAGGATGATGATGACTTGTGAACGAATATGTGTCTCTCTTTTCCTCCTTTTTCCATTTGATATGGAAAAAAGGGATGGACGGGACACTGAATTGAGAAACCAATTCAGTATTTTTAGTTGGTATAATATTCGAGAACTAGTATATGTACACATATGGTTAGAATAGAGGGAATAAGAGGAATTCGAGCTTCATATATTCGAAAGTGTATGTTATTAGCACACCGTTAGATGGTATAATTTATCCTAAAGTGCCGTGAGAGTCTGGAGCCTTGGAAACAGAACTGACGCCATATGATTCCCAAAATGCCGAAAGGAAGAAGGTTTTGAAAGTTAAAAATTCTGAAGAAAGGAGGGCTACAAAAAATGAATAAACCAGGAGCTCGGACTGTTTTAGAAACTTTCCTAACTAATATCATGGGACTTATGGGTCTCCGAATATATTCTAATACCAAATAAGTTAGAGGCTCCTAAAAACTTCATCGGAAATCCAGACTATCCCACTCCTCTTTACCATTCGATGATTATAGAATTGCTGCCAGTATACTAGTTTTTTTAGAGAAGATAATGATCCTACAGAACCAAAAAAAAAAAAAAGAATCCGAGAAAGTCGGAATGGAGCCCATTCTTGTTATGCTTGCTCCACAATCCGCTTCCTCGTATGAGCACGGCATAACCTTTAATTTTGTCTTTCCGACGGAGGAGGCCCATACTCCGGGGGTACATCAAAAAGGGGTACATTGAGGGTACATCACTCTTATAGGGTACATTGACTCAGAGGGTACATTGACTGATAGGGTACATCTGTGGAGGAGTCTGATAGGGTACATTTAAGCAACTCTCATAGGGTACATCGACGAAATACTCAAAGGGTACATCGAAAAAATCTGAAAGGGTACATTGGTCTGATTTCGCACAGTTTTCGAATATTCGTAACTTAATGAGACGGACAAGTTTTATAACGAAGTTTCGGTCATTCATCGGATTATAAGCAACTTACTGATGCTCGGCGAGGTTGTGCAACGTGCTCCTCCTCAATCTTGAATAGTAAGCGCTCATTCCTCGATCACTTAGGGACG